ATAATTAAGCTTGTCAGTGTAATTGGCTTGGGAGCTACCTGAGAGCACAGAACACTTCGGAATGCGTACGTGTGGGGCATGGGTGCCATGATCTTGCATGCAGTATATAGTCCCTGATTTCTTTCTCTCTGGCAGTGTTCCCCTGCTTGGCTTCCTGTCCACCATGAACAAAGCATCTTTGTTCCACCATGCCCTTCCACTGTGATATTCCTTCTTTGGAGCCAGTCAACCACACACTGAAACTTTTGAGATTATGAGTCAAATACATCATTTCATCCTTAAGTTGTGTGTGTTGGGTATTTTGCCCCAGCAATCAGAAAGCCGAGGAAATGCCAAGGCTGAGGTTAATTTTCAGGCTTCCTCTGCTTTGTGTTTCCTACTAATGCTACTGGATATAGGGAATGGGTTCTAATAATGGAGGCCAGGGCTAAAAGTATGGAACATGGAGAAAAAAAACCTGGGAGTTGGCATTGAGATGTGGATTGCCTGGTGCATGGTACCAGGGGCATCTAGCAGTCAGTAAATTATTCTGTCATATAAATCAGTCTCGTCTCAGTCTTCTCTGGACTATTTTCTTTCTTTCTTTCTTTCTTTCTTTCTTTCTTTCTTTCTTTCTTTCTTTCCAGGGGGTGATGCCAGGGATCAAACTCAGGCCCTTGAGTTTGCAAGCAGGTGGCAGAACCACTGAGTCAAATCCCCAGCCCCTCTAGATTACTTTCTTATCCTAGGAGGCCAAGGTCAACAAATGGGCCTCAGAAATGGCAACAACTAGACAGAGGAAGAAGAGAAATGATAAGTTTTTGTCAATCAACCTGTGAATAGAACCACAGACTTGTAGTGTGTGAAAAGATACTCTGATATAAAAGAGCAGAAAGGGAGCTTCCTGGCCTCTATCTTCCTCTCTCATCATGTGAACTCTCCTTTTGCAAAGGCCTCTGCCAAGATGTTATCAGTCATGTTGTGACTCAGCTAAGGAGACTCACAGGAGGCCAACAGGATGAGACCACTCAATCTTGGGCACTCCAAATTGGGAGGTAAATGGCCTCTTTTCTTTCAAAGTACCTCGTGTCAAATATTTTGTTATAAGCAACATAAAATTGATGAATACAAGACTAACGCCATCATTGTCTTCTTAAACCTCTCTCTTCTTATTCTCTAGTATTATCCTAAAAATTCTTTCCAAAATCTGGGCATCTCTTGCTTCCTGTCCTGTCTTCCTCAGACTTTCAGTATTTGTCAACACCATAAATTTTCAGTTACTATTTCATAATAATTTTTCAGTGTTCCCCTTCTTTATTTTTATTACTACTGTTCTTTCCAGACCTTTAACCTTCCAGCGACTATGTTAAACAATTAAGTGTCTTCAACATATATTCTGTGGCTCTATTTTACTCCCTTTAATTTTACTGTGAACGTTTCCAGCTACCAATATACAATTTGACTGCCCAAAAATTCCACACAAATCGACCTTTAAAATATTCCATAGACCCAGCTCCATTCTGTAAGTAGAGACTATGTGACCTTGGACCCGGGCCTTCAGCATTTTTTAGCAGCAGAATTTCATTTTGCTATTTCATAGATGGCTCCCACCCAGAACACACTTTATAAAATAGAAAGTTCTAAGTAGATCAATAAAAAAATTTGCAAAAACTTTAAAGTGGAGGAGTCAAGTAGCAGCTGTGGGCTTATCAAATTCAGCATCTAAATTTATTTGTTGCACTTTATTGAAAAAAAATCCTGATTCCAACTGATATGAAGTTGCAAAGGGCATAAATTTTGTATTAGCTTTCTCGGCAAACTCATATGGCTTTCAGAATGCAGACAAAATAGTAATATGAGTTCTATTCCAGACCGGAATGAAATTAGTAAACTGTGTCACAGAAGAACACAGAAGTGATATTTACCGTATTATGGTGTAGCAAATAACAATATAAGTGTACACTTTCTGTTATGTTTTTTAATGATTCAAATAGATTTTAAATAAAATTCCATTCAGAATTCCTGAAGTGCTTGCAAGTCACCCAAGAGTTTCATTAGACACAACTCGATAATTATTCCCTTAGAAAACTCTATTTGTTGTTGTTGTTGTTGCTTTGGTTTTTTGAGACAGGGCCTCACTATGTAGTTGAGATTGACCTGGAACTCACTATGTAGCCCAGGCTGGTCTCAAACTCACAATGATCCTCCTGCCTCAGCCTCCCAAGTGCTGGGATTACAGGTGTGCGCCACCACGCCCGGCTTGAAAACTCTATTTTTTATTAGTACATGTTTGCTGCAGTACATAATGACTACACTCATTGTGGGGAGTTGGGACATGTACATAACTCACCTTAGTTCTTTTTACACAGCTTTCCTCTCTCCCTCCCTCCATTCTCCATGTCTTGGTCTCCTTCCCATCTGAAAAAGATCTCTCCTTACTTCCTATTATCTATCTTTCACTTGGCTCTTTAATTTATTTATACTTTGGATTTCTCATAGAAGAGAACCTATGTGATATTTAAGCTTGTGTGCCTGACTTATTCACTTAGCATTACGGTCTCAAGGTGCATCCATTCTCCTGCAGATGACTCAAATTTATCCTTCTTTACAGCAGAGTAGGACTACATTGTGCATAAATACCACATTGTTTTCCATTCATCTGCTGAGAGATGTATAGGCTGCTTCCAAAATTTAGCTATTATGAGTTGTGCCGCTATAAACATGAGTATGTGGGCCAGGGATTTAGCTCAGTGGTTCTACCACCGGCCTTGCAAGTGCAAGGACCTGAGTTCGATCCCCGGTACAAAAAAAAAAAAATCAGTACACATGGATCATTATTATAATGTGGTATTTTTAACTCTTTTGGGAAGATATCTAGAAGGGGAATAGCTGGGTCAAATAGAGTTTCTAGTTATAGTTTTCTTTTGTTCTTGTTTTGTTTTGTTTTCTGGGATGTTGGTTTTAGTTTTTCTTTTTTCTTTTTTGTTTTTTGTATCAGGGATCAAACTTGGGAACTTGCAATTGTGAGGCAGGCAGCGGAACCCCTGAGCTAAATCCCAAGCCCTAGTTGTAGTTTTTTGAGGAATCGCCATACTGATTTCCATAGCAGCTGTACTACTTTACACTCCCACCAACCGTGCAGAAGGGCTCCTTTTTCCCTACAGCCTCACCAGCATTTGTTATTATTTGGCTTGAGGCCAGGGATTTAGCTCAGTGGAACCAGGGCTCACAAGCTCAAGGTCCTGAGTTTGATTCCCAGTACAATAAAAAAAAAGAAAAAGAAAAACAGAAAACCTGTGTTATTATTTGATTTCTTGAAGATAGTCAATATTTTTTGGAGTAAGGTGGAATCTCGGTGTTGTTTTAATTTGCATTTCTCTAATGGCCAGCAATGTTGAACTTTTTTCACATATTTATTGATCATTTTTACTTCTGAGAAGTGTCTTTTCATTTCACTTGCTCATTTTTGATTAGGTCTTTTATTTTAGAGAGAATCTAATTTTTTGAGTTCTTTATATAGTCTGAGGTGTAACTGTCAAAAAAAATTTTTTTCCCATTCTTAATTTGTCTCTTCTTTCTGTTTCTTTTGCTGTGTGGAAGGATTTTAATTTGATACTATCCCGTTTGTTGATTCTTGGCGCTATTTCTTATGCAATTGGAATTCTCTTCATAAAGTCCTTGTCTATGCCTGTGACTTCAAGGTTTTTGCCTGTGTTATGAAAATTTTTTTTTTTTTTTTTTTTTTTTTTTTTTTTTTTTTTTTTTTTGGTAGAGAATCAAACGTGGGACCTCGCACTCACAAGGCAGGTGGCAGAACCACTGAGCTAAATCCCTGGCCCAAAAATGTTCTTTTCTAATACTAACTCTTTTTTAACCTCCAGCTCAGCAGAAGATTTTCTGACCAACTCCAACACACCTTTGCAGTCTTTTCTCTGCATGGGCTTTCTGCCCAAATCCAGCTGTCTGACTAGAGGGCAAGATCATGGTTCTCCTGCCTCGATGTCTTGGGAATCAGTTCAGCTCCCACCACCACGCCAAAGGCTGTCCCTAACCAGTCCACCCACAATGATCTCCATCTCATCCAAACGCAGCCTACAGTGGTGCTTACTATGGCTCATAATCGTTAAATACTGTGTGCCTATCACTGGGCTGCATAAATGGCAGACAGCCAAGAAACCCTGGAAGGGATGAAGGGAGCCCTTTCTGCGCAGTGCTGAGAAGAAGGAAGAGGACGGGGTCCCCGCAAGTGTGTGGGCTTGAGGAATCCTTTAGTGTGTAAACAATTGGAGTTGAAAGAAGAGGAATGACTTGTGACTGAACTCAGAGGTTAGGTCCCCCATTCCGGCCCTCCACTAGGACCCGCCCAGCCTGTGAGTCATTTATTAAAGTTCTTAAGGAAGAGAAAGTTCCTGTTTTGTCATAATCTATGAATTATTTTACTCCACAAAGGAACACTTATTTACTGAAAACCCTATTGATTAGATTATTTGGTAATTTTACAATTTACTTATAGATATTAAGATTTTCATTAGCCTATCTTTTTTGTCTTGGCACAGAACCATTAGGAAATGCCTTCTAAGCAATCTTCATAGAGTTCACAGATCGCCATCGCAATCCTATGCGTAGACCCATTGTACAGATGTAACTGTGGTTTAAAGACATCTGATCACTTGACGTAGGCCATGTAAGCAATTATTCGGTAAAGGCAACACGTTAAGCTATGGGAGCTCTGCACCTCGTGCATTGGAATCAGCTGGGTTGCTTGTTTAAAATGCAGGCTACTAAAGCCTCTGTGGACTTACAGAAGAACCTCATGATTAACACAGGAATCTGTTTCTTGCAAGCACCTCAACTGTCTTTAACCTTGGACAGCCACCAACTTAGCAGGTGATAAGTTATAAGGCAGTCAGAAGTGTTTGCAGCTATACTTGAGGAAGTAAAGGAGTCTTGAGGCAAGATGTTGATGTGCCTGCAGCACAGAGGCTGAGTGGCCGAGACTCCGAACTGTTGCAATTTTGTGATTAGAAGAACACATTCCACCAACCAACTGTAACTTTCCAGTAGAATGTTTCTGCCTCCTCGTCTATAAAATAAAAAAGAATTGCCTCAGATGATCCTCTTCAACCTTCCATCCCACACACCCCTTGATCTCATGGCTCCTAGTTTCTTATCCTTATTCCAACCCCAAATTAGTTAAATACCCAGAAGAGTGAGGAATGGAGCACTACACACAGAAGACCTTTTCCTTTAGTAACCAACCTCTTCCACAGCTTCCCCTAAACGTTCCATAGAAACAGAAGGGCTTTCTTTCCTCCTTCAGTAATCGCTGAATAGAGAAGAAAAGCAAAATGAAAAAATAAATAAGCTTAAAGGGCAAAAATAGCAAACAGATATTACCACCAGCTATATTTTACCTTGGTGCATTTATATTTCTGCCACTACTCTCAGAAGCCTTCAGGGAAGGTGTGTATTTTGGACAAATTTTATAATAAAGATTGTAAATAAATCCTAAATGCTGCTAGACCTGGAAGTAGATCATTAAACTTTTATAGAATCGACATAAGCTTGGGATCTGACAAATCTCATTTTAAATGCTGAATGTGGCAGCTTCCCAGAACAGGACAAAGCCAATAGTCTGCATTTAATCTTTATTAAGGCCTCGCAAACAATATACTTTTTAATCATATTTAGAGTCACAGTCACTTTTTTGCAAATACTGCATCACCAGAATTTGAAGCATAGGATTTCACATCTTGACATAATGCGTAAGTACAAAGAATATAATAATAACTCAAGATTCTTTGTGCCCAATGTAATAACTGCACTGGATTCTCAAGAGACACCTAGTGTTTTATCCGTGCAAACACCAGCAATCTAACCCAATGCCACCTCTCCCACTCCTCCCCTCTCTCCCTAGGGCAAGAAATGTTCATTCTCTTCCTGAGAGATCATCTCTTCCAGTAAGTGTGCTGTTCTCTGTGTGTGTCCTGCCCTCGGTGACACCTCATCCCATGAAAAATGACTTACAGATTTTTCATCTTTTGAAACCATTATCACTGACCAGCAGCTCCTGTAAAGAGAAGATGGATTGGATTAGGAATCCCAACCCCGCTGCAAAACCTATTACTAAAGGAACGCGCGTCTCTTCTTCCTTTCCTCCCGCCAACGGCCGAGTTCCCGGCTGGGAGGCCCAGCGTCGGAACTCGGGTATCCTGCCTGGGCCAACGCTGGCTACAAGGCCAAGCCACCCGCCAAGTCCTGCTGCCACCACTCTGGCTGGGAATTCTGCAGAGGCGCTTCTTCCTCTCCTCTCCCAAGGCCTCCGGGCCCCAGGGCTGCATCTACCACTTCCAGTGGGCCTGATTCGGGCGGTCTTGTCCGGGAGCACCAAGGTCCGCAGTCAGAAGTGAAGCAGTTAAAGCAGCCGAGGCATGTTTACTAAGCCATTTGAAGTTGATAGCCCACCCGGCCCGGCTTTTTTCTCTATCTTCCTAAACCGCAGTGAATTGATGGAATGACCCGGACTTGATCTTCGGGGCAATATGTCTGATGGCGCTGCTGGATTGATAAATTGATTCAAAACTATTACCATGGTGAAAAAGCAATAAGGTCATAAAAATTGCATCAGCTGGCTAAGTAAATCCTGGCATTTCATGACAAGTAATGCAGAAGAATCGCAAGAGGATCTGGGCATGAGGCTGAATGAGTGAGGGAGAAATGACTTTGAAGAGCTCATCATCTCCGATCTATTCTTCCTGCCAGCGATCCATGCCTTCGCATAGCGCCACTTCATTATGGGGAAATAACTGTACACTTCTAGCATATTCCCGGCCTCCCTGGCGGCCCCTGGAGGACCCTTAGCTGGTTAATACCTCATCACGGGCTTCATTGAACACTTTAATCTGCACTTGTGTGATCAATAGAATCCTGGTGTAAATTAAAAGGACAATTTCATGTAATCAAGCCTGTTAATGCTCATTTTGAAAACCATTATTTGTGGAAGGCATTTAGAAGAAAATTACAAAGTGACAGGCTGATGCACTCGGAGATGATTTGAAAGCAGGCTTTTCTGTGCGACTGTACACCTGCTTGGGGAGCGGGATGGGCGTGTGCCTTAGCAAATGCAAGGAGAAGGGAGGGGAAGCCAGGCGGGCGAAGAGGAGCCCGGCGACCCAGCAGGAATGCGTGTATCCCCGGCCTGCCTGCCGCCTTCACGCAGGGAAGAAGAAAATGAAATTTTCCAATGTTCTATCTCTGTGGCAAATTCAATTACTGTGGGGACTTGTTCAAAGCGGTGTAACTTCCAAGAGGCAGAAATTGAAAACCTGGCAGCTAATGAAATGCCAAATGACTAGGAAGTTCAGACAGGGGCCGTCAGTCACGTCAAACACCTGGAGAAAAATAGCGACTCTCCCCACTGCTTTCCCAGAGCCACTCTCTCAATGGCCCCCTCTTTAAGAGCGGGGAAGCCTTCTTCCCCCAACATTGACTCCAGCTGGAATAATACGTTAACGGTCCCAGCTTCCGTGGGCCGCTCTGCCGGCCACACCGTGCCACGGTGCGTGACGACGCGTAGGAAGCAGAATGTAACCAGCGTGCCATCTTCTCCTCGCCCAGTCTGGGCAGGTGTGTTGCATAGAACTGTTTAATAGTCACTTACACAGCCTGCTCGCAAACGTCGTTTGTAAGTCTTTGGTAGATGACATATACGTGTATCTCATAGCATACGGCTTGGGAAGATTCCTAAGAATGTTAACAGAGCGCCTCCGCTCCTAAGATTCTGTCTAATTGGTCTAAAGTAAAACCCAGGCTTTATGTCCCATAAACTCCCTAGGTGATTCTATGCCCAGGCCCTTTCTGAGAAGCACTGGGCTGTCATACGGGCGTGAAAGCAGCTAAGCGTTGGCACGGATACCTGGGCCGTATAGCCGATGGATTCTCACCACCGCTGAACCTTGTGTATCGGGGACGTGATCCAGACAGCATTACATCCCTGCAACACCAGAGCCAGGAAACTGCAAGACCCAGAAGAAGAAGCCCGTGGGTGTGACAAACCAGGTCCGATGGAAAACCCTTCCTGTGTCACGGCGCAGCTAGGCCCGAGAGTCTGAAAATGCAACGTTCGGCTCCCCCCTGCCTCCGGGCTCCTCACAACACTCCACCAAGGAAAATCGTTTCCATTTGTCATGTGACAAACATTTCCAGTCAACTCTTATTGAGTTGATATCGGTTTATTCAGGGTAAGACGCATTTCAGACAGCCACTCTCTGGGCAACTGAATTTCCTATGGCTCTTTTATTAAAATTGTCAGATAATCTGAGCATAGCTTATTCAAAAGATGCTTGCTGTTATTTGATTTTATCAATGTTTCCATGTCAAATAAGCATCTTAATGTATTTACCATAATGTTTTCCTTTCTCTTTCCTAAAATAACAAAACGCCACCCTCTCCTCCCCTTTTGTTCTGACATTTTGAGGCCCATATGCTGCTTTCTGCTTCTTTGTTAGGGTCCTGAAACACCCCTACTCCCACCTAGCACTTTTAAATACTGCTTAATGTGATCTCTTAGACTTGGGTCACGTTTACCCTTTCTTGCAAGAGCTAATCACATCCCTGGGGACTGGGTCATTCGGTGACTCATGTTCAACCATTATTTGAGTCCTTACTATTTACTTCCAGAAGCATCCAGTACTTTTCATGACGGCTGAAAACATGAGTCAACACTGGATGTGATTTTGCTTCCCTCTGGACCTTCACAGAAATTAAATTCTAAAATTTGGATTTTATAAAATGTGTAATAAGACCTTGAGATTCATCAAGAGAGCCTTCACTATGGCAGATGTACTGGGTCTGCTCCTGTCTTTTATACCTTTCATGTCTCATGATCTGAGTAACCAGGGCAGCTAAAGGAACTAAGCAAGATATTGTGTTTGTGTCCTAGGATCTACCACACTCTCCAAATAGAATTTGCAAAAGGTTTCAAATGAAGTCATGAAGAGAATGAAGCAAGCTAAATCCATCCATGACGCAGGCAAGGCAACTAATGATATGGGCATCTTTTGTAAAAAGAATTCTTACTTTCTTCAATTGAAGTTTAAGATGTTTAAAGTTTGGAAGGGGAAAAAATATGGTCCTTTTGAGGAAACCAAATTAGTTAAGGTTTGCTTTTTAATGCTCCAAGAAGATGACCAACTTATTTGTTGACTAAATAAACATGGACCGGAAGAGAGAAACAGAGATGACTGAGGATTCAGAATCATCGCTGCTCAAGGGGAGGCTTGCAGAACTGGGAAGAGACACCCAAGGACCCAGGATCCCAGGAGCTTTCTCTTTTGAAGCCAACAACAAAGGAGATGTGCTGGGAATTTCCGGTGATGAAAACACTTGAAAGGATCTTGAGTGTGTGAAACAAAAGAGACTGTAGGAGTCTGCAACTCCTCTCCTAGATCTAAAGACAGTGAAGACCTGTGGATCAGGTCATTTCAAAGAAATCGGTAGGGCAAAGAGGACAGACTGCAAGAGCCTATGATGAGTCGTGTCATCTGGTGTTTCCTCTTCCTGGAACAATCTTGCCCACCACTCCCAGTGCCCTGCATCTGCTGCCTTTACACAGAAAGCACCATGGTTCTTCGTGGCTCTTTCCAAACACAACATCCTCCCAGAAACAGTCCTTGGCCCCGAGTCCTTCACAAGCTCACACGGCCCCCTGTGCCCAACCTCTGACTCCCAGCCATGGTTAATCCGTCTCCAAACTGATTCTAAATAATGAGATAGCACTCTGGGTCTATTTTATACCCTGTTTAGCCAAGCACCGTACCATACATAAAGCAGAGACTCGATACGTTTTTGTTGAATGAATAAAGTCTTTCAGAAACCAGAGCATGACGTACACAGGCCCAAGTTCTCATATACCTGCTTCTTAGGATTTTGAGGGGGAACACCGAATATTTAAGGACAGAAGGCTTTACTCCTCTGAGATGATTGTGGTCGATTTCATCTTACTCTACTTAATAATTTTGTATATGTCATTTCTTTCATGTAATAGGTTAAATGTAAAGCCTAATAAGCAATCAAAGCGTCTATTTTTAGTTTTTAAAACACCTATAGAAAACTATAATATATGCTAATAGGTTTTCACAGTAATTAAACCCCCCTTCTGAAGCACAAGGTCTCACCATTCGTGGTAATAGTTATCCAAATTATCCAGAATGAAATAATGGCAGTCGGAAGAGACTTAGATGTGTAAATCTAAAACGATAAAGTGACTTAGGTCCTGTTTTCCTCCCTTTTCTCATAAATCTTATCTAGGCACCAGGAGCTTCGCCGTAGAAGAAAAGTAAGGTCTTGTTCACATTTTCAGTGTTCTTTTATGCTTGTAAGCATGTTTCATTTATTTTTTAAGAACCACGCTGTGATAGCAAGCTGCCTAAAGAATACACGAAAAGCTTGTTAAAATGATTGTCACGGTTTCACTGTTTACCGATTCAAAAAAACACTGAATTCATTCATCGCATCCATTTTATTCATTGATAAATTTTTTTGAGACAGGATCTCACTATGTAGCCCTAGCTGGCATCAAACTCACAAGGATCCTCCTGCCTCAGTCTCCCTAGTCCTGAGATTACAGGTGTGCACCACTGCTCCTGGCCAATAAATTTTCTTTTCCTTTTGTTTTTTTCTTCTGTCCACCATCAAATTTTTCATAGTCTTTTTTCAATTAATTTTATTGGTACATTTAAGGTATACAATGTAATGACATTTATCATTGGAAATTTACAACTTTACATAATCCATCTTGATCTTATTTTTTCCCCATTCCCCTGCCCTCCCTTCAACCCCTCCACCCCTCCCTGTCTACAAAGACCTTGTTTCCATTTTTCTTCTCCTCATGTTACTTCCATTCCCTTCTTTCTTTTTCCCTACCCCTCCCACTTTCCCTTCCCCTTTGGACCTTTTTTTCCTAAATTTTCTTAATGTAGAATGTTTTTTAAGTGTTTCTCTAAAGACTCTTTGAAAAAGGCATAAGGAATGACTTTATTTTAATCTTTAGAAAAAGCAAAAATTGGGGATGTTTTGGTAGGAGAGCACCTGCCTCGCCTGCCTGAGGCTGTGGATTCAATCTTCAGCACAGCAAACATAAACAAACAAACTTAAAAAGTAACAGATAGTCCTCAACTTAAAGGCAGTTTCTTCCAAAGGTACATTTTTATGTCAACAGTTTGAAATCTAGAATACGTTTACCACAGCAAACAATATTAGACTACATTTATTAAACTAACATTGTGCCTAAAACTTCGTGGAAATTCTCCCACTATATAACGCAGTGTTCCAATGGGAACAGCTGTTCAGAATTTGTTGGCAGATGCTCTCGGTTGTTAGTTCAACTGTCCCTTTAATGCCCCTTCTCCCTTTCTACCCTGTACTAGGAAGAGGCAAATGCAAGACACTCTCTCAGCCTTTCTGCTGGGTCTGGGTCACTGTGTGACATTGTTCCTGATTATTGCAAGTACAAGTACAGTGGATATTTGGAGAACTTTTCTTTCTCAGAACAAAGAGGGACAAGAGGAAACCCCCCTCACTGTCAATTCTCCTTTCTAGCTTTGGATTCAGACATGATGCCTGGAGCTATGGCAACCTTTTGGGACCAAGAGACAGCAAGCACAATGTTGAAAATACCCACCAAGAATGGCAGGGCAGCAGGGTAAAAAGAGCTAGGATCTGTGATAACACTGAAGGGCGCAAATCAACACTAGAAACCAAAGCACTTCAGTCTTCTTTTTACATGTAGTGAATGACCATTACACAGTAGTGAGTGCTAGCCTTTCTGTTACATGCCACCAAAAGCATTCCTAAGCGAGGCAAATACCAATCTGGAGATCTGGAAGTACATGGCCCTGCTGTCACTGAATTGCGGATCCCTCCTTTCCTTCTGTCTCTACCTCATGGAATCAAGATTCCCAGAAGCTCTTTCCTTACCTGCAGCCTCAGATCTCTAGTGGTCTTCAAGTCAGGAAAAGGGCTGACCAAAAGGAGATTCCAAGTGGTGCCCCCCAAAATGTGGAGAAAAACCTGAAGCCCTGGGGATTTCTGCCAATGTGAGACACCTCGAGATCCATACCACCCCACAGAACACAGAATTAGTTTTAAGACTCCTTTGTTTTCTTTCTCACTTTGCAGGAAGTGACCCTCTCTGTTCTCTAACTGTATTTCTCATCTTCCTTAATCTATCCCCAAACACAATCCAGTCTGTTATGTTCCTTGGCTGTGCACAGAGTATACAGCTTTTTTTTGTTTTTTTTGAAGTTTACTAAGAATTTATACTGCTGACACTGCAAGAAAACAGATAGGGGAACTGTTTCCCATTTAGTGTAAAATAGAGCAGGCTTTCTATTTAGACAATTAGGCAAATGCAGATCAAGTGTCTTTATAAACACCATATGTTAGAAATCTATTAAATGTATCGCTGAGAATACTATGCACCCCTGTAAAATGTTTAAAGTATGTAAAAATGTTGATTAATTATAATGTTTCACATCCCTAAGTAAAGGTTCTTTGTATCACTTGTATTAAGAAAAAGTAGGAAATATACATGTGAAATTATAATCATCCTCAAAGACACACAAGATCATCACTCATTCTGAAAGGCCAGGTCCAGGGTGGCCCAACCTTAGACTCCTGGCATTGGTAGCCTGTGGAGCTACTTCCCTGGGAGTGTGGGCTGCTCCCTCCCCACACACTGTTGGCACTGGATCAGGGACAGATGGAGGGAGAGGCTCTAGGTATAGAAAGGATCGAATACAGCAAATTATCAGACACAATAAGTGATTCTCAGGCAGCCAAGGCTGAGAACCCCTGTGGGCAGAGGTAAGGCAGCAGGTCCTGCTGATCCTGGGAGGAAAGGGCAGGGGAAAGCTTGCCCTCGAGTGTAAGATGGCATGACCTTTCTGGAAAGCAAGAGGCCACATGTGTCCTTAAAAACCCTGACACTGTGCTGTTAGAAGTCCAGTTGGGTTTTTATCTACCAGGGCTCAAATTCAGTATGCTGAGGTGCATGGCTTGGCCTCTGATGCTAAAGTCCCCAGCTTCATTCCGAGACAAAATGCCACCTGATGCCATTTTTCCACAAGGGGCTTTTCCTCCCTCGCACACTGACATGCACGGGGAGAGTCAGGTACGCCTCCCACTCCTTCCCTTACTTTGCTGCAGCTTGTTTAGCCGAGCGCTCCCTTGTCAGGACTTGCACCTCGGCTGGACGCAGCTAGGCGGCTGCCTGGAGTGACACCCAGTGGTGACGAGGAGACCCGCGGCAGCAGTAAGCCCTTCCTGGACTCTCCCGCGAAGCCACCCTTCCGAAGCCTCCGCGTTCCCTGGAAGCGGAGTTTTTCCTTCCACAGCTCATCCATTTGTTACCATCTGATCCCATCTTTCACTGTGTGAGGATTTTTACTCACTAGCTGTTGATCTGACATCTAATCTATAGAAGCTGCTTAGAGAAAACCTATCATGAGCAAATGGTGATTTTTCTTTTAGTGAAATAGCAGGGCTGGGGATTTAGCTCAGCGGTTTCGCTACCTGCCTTGCAAGCTCAAGGGCCCGAGTTCGATCCCACTATACCAAAAAAGAATAGAAAGAAAAAAAAATATCAGGGTGGGAGATCTCGCCTTCAGCAGGAAACAGCAATATCAAGTATCTTCTGTCCCTACACGTTTCAACTCAAACCAGTCTTTGCAGGAAATCCTTTACCTAAGTTTTTTTTGTACCAGGGAATCGAACTCGGGACCTTGTGCTTCCCAGGCAGGCGGCAAAACTACTGAGCTAAAACCCCAGCCGTAGCTAAGAATTTTTTTATAGATAGGAGTCTAACCACGTATCACAGTGGAACGACATGTAGGTTCCCCCAACCCAACAAATGATCGGACAGGCACTTGGTACTTCTCAACATCAATCTAGTAATAAAGGAATCAACAGGATTCTAGAAAAAACAGCAAAGTAAATTGTGATTTAAAAAAAAAAAAAGGAGCCAGTGTACGTCCAAGGTCCCTGGTAATATTTTGCAAGTCATCTTTCCCTCATTTTCCAGCGTCTTTCTGGTGACCTTCATGGGGCCTCTTCTCCCTAGAGATCGAGTCCGCATCCATGTTTCCAAATACTTTCCTTGTAGCACCTCATCACACACTGTTATTTCTGGACAGCGAGTGAAATAAATAATGCCAAATTGACCAAAAAAGGTTAAATCATTACACACTGTCAGAAGTGAGGCAAGAGGACGGTTGTCAGTGGCAGACTTCATAATTCTCAGCCCTTGCAGGGTAAGCAGCAGTGACTTTCAATAAGGTAAAAGTATTTCTGAAATACAGAAATGGTATGTGTTATTCAAAATCCCTACATTAAGAATAGACCACAATTGGGAGGCTGAGGCAGGAGGATCGCCACGAGGTCAAAACCAGCCTGGGCTATATAGTGAGTTCAGGTTTGAACTACAATGGAAGACTCTGCCTTAAAAAAAAGAACAGTCCACAATGGAGTTGTGAGACTGTTTTGCCAGATCTCATTTTGAGCAATAGATCCATTTTTGCAATGCCACAGCTTTGGATCAAGTAGAATGTTGTCCTTTTGGATTAGAGTCACGGCCATAAATGGAGGTGGGTACTTGCTATTTCCATACCTCAGTCCCCATCCGCAAAACGTGGGCAACATTAGCTCCCTCCTGATCACACAGGTTGTTGGTCACGTGTGTGAACTGCCCACTGACACACTCTGTGTATGGTACCTGGCACCTGCTCCCTGAGGCAGCTCTTGTTATTAAAGGAAAACCTGAGGTGCTTAAGTCTCTAAAGAAATGGATCTGGAGCACGTGGCAGCGTTTCCCACTTATAAATGCAAACCTTTTCTAGCTCGGGAGCTGTCTCCTCTACTTTTTGAAAGATCGA